ATGGACACACAATACATAACATATAATTTGTGATAACAACAACATAAAATGGGAGGTATGGATATATATAGCAGTAGAATTTACATACTATTAAAGCTAAGGTGATATTAACTCAAACTAGTGTTTTATAAGTTGTTAATTGTAACAACTAAGAAAATAACTTGAAAAGATACAGAAAAGGAAATAAGGTACACAGTACACTAAAAAACCTCAATTAAACATAAAATAAATAAGTAATGAAGGAATTGAGGAACAAAAAACATACGACACGGAAAACAAATGAGCAAAATAGCACAAGTCCTTCCTTATGTGTTATGGGCTGAATTATATTCCCTCAAAATTCATACATTGAAATCACAACTCCCAGTATCTCAGAATGCGAGTAAGCAATGTACATTCACTGAGGGCAGTAAATGCCTACATTAAGAAAGAAGAATGATCTCAAATCAATAACCTAAATTTAGACCTTATGGAACTAAAAAGAGCAAACTAAACCCAAACATAGCAGAAGAAAGGAAAAAACAGAGTGGAGAGAAATGAAATACAGAATAGAACAATAGAGAAAATGAACAAGTCCAAAAGTTTTTTCTTTGAAAAGAAATTTGACAAACTTTCAGCTACAAGGATTAAGACAAAAAAGAAGACTGAGATGACCAGAATCAGAAATGAAAATAGGGACATTACATATCACTCTTACAGTAATTTAGAAAAAAATTAGAAGAGAATACTAAAAATAATTATAGGCCAAGAAACTAGACAACCTAGATGAAATGAACAAACTCCCAGAATTGACTCAAGTAGAAATAGAAAACCTGAATAGACCTATAACAAGTAAATATTGAATGTGTAATCAAAAACCTATCAAGAAAAAAAAAATCCCAAGATCAAATGGTGTCACTGTTAGGTATATGTCCAAAAGAAAGAAAATTCTCCCAAATATTTAAAAGAAGAATACCAATCCTTCTTAAACTTTTGTAAAATACAGAAGAGAGGGAAACACTTCTTAACTTCCTAACTGAGGGGAAGGAAAATGAGAAATGGCTGCTTAATGGATATGGGATTTTCCTTGCAGGTGATAAAAAATTTCTGAAACTAGATAGTGGATGGTTGCATAATACTGTCAATGTAGTTAATGCCACTGAATTATACACTTTAGTTAAAAATGCAAATTTTACGTCATGTGTATTTTTCCACAAAAAACCATTATGCTCAGTTTTAAAAGCCCTGAAAGAGTACATATTGTATAAAATGTTCAAAAATGTGAATATAAGAGAGAAGGTAGATCAGTGGTTGTTTAGGGCTGGAAGGATTGGAGGGAAATTAGGAGTGACTAAAAGTGGTCACAAGGTTTACTCTTAGGATGATGGAAATGTTCTACAATTAGATTATGGTGATAGTACACAACTCTGTAAGTACATTAACATTCAATGAATTGTTCTCTTAATATGAGTTAACTTTATGTTCTGTAAATTATTTCTCAATAAATTATTTTGTAAGTAAGATGGCTGACTCTCAAGCTGACCGGAAAAGTATCAACGTTAGCTTAATACCAATCACTGTACTTCTGCAGAGCAGATACAAATCCTACATTCAATACAATTAGCTAGTAAAGCTAACAAAAAAGAAAGCAAACTTATCAGCTTTTAGTATTAATATGCCATAAACATCATTTTCTTATATACGGCTCAAATGACTCAATGTTGACACATAAATTAACGGTTCAAAGATAGTAAGGAAAAGGCAGTCTATGACCAAGTTATAATACTCAATGCACTTGCTTTATGCATGTTGTCTTTGACCAAGAGCACAAAACGTATTTTATGTAAGACCTAAATTACACGTAGATTACATGTAATTTGCTTAATTCTTGGCAGAACTATTTGTCTCTCATTGCAAAGACTGATTTTCTTTTCCAAATGGCATAATGTATGGGTGGGGCATTTGTTTCTATCATATGCTTTTCCTTCTTTTTATAATTAGCTACAAAAACACAGAATCAATCAGGACAGTGAATTACAACCTCTATCTCCTGAAACATCATATTCATGTCATGAGTCAGAAAGTAGTCCTTTCCTCTGACCATCTCTCTCAATTTAATAAGTATTAAAGCAAAAAAGGAAAGGATAAAAGTAATTTCAAATTTTGAGTGACAGCACGACTGAGGCTGAAACTGACTATGATATCACAGTTGGTTCAGTGGTAGATAGAAGAACAGGTAAATGAAAAGCCTCATTTCATGTATCATGTAGCTGTGAAATCCCACCAGAGCCAAGAGAGATTAGGGGGAACTCAAGGTACTCTGACCTATATTTCTTTTCTTTATCACCTAATTTGCTAGAGAAAATTCCCATGAATTATACTGCCAAAAAAATTATAAGGCAGACTATCTACATAAAAATTCTTGTCTTGGAAACATTTTCAATAATCGGCTAACATAGCATCTTCATTATTATTTCCATTTTATTTTGTGAGCAAACAGAGATATGACTTCAATAAAGCTAGATACCCAATTAGAGATGGCTATAGCAAGATGTCAAACAACAGCCCATAGGCCAGATCTGGCTTGCTGCCTGTTTTTGTAAATAAAGTTTTATGAGAACACAGTAATGTTCACTCACTTACATATGGTTATGGCTCTTTACATGTGACAATGCCATAGTTAAGTGGTTGCAACAGAGACCTCTGGCCCACAAAGACTAAAATATTTACTATTTGGTTTTCTATTCACTGCTAAAGAATTAAAATTCAGTGGGTTGTTTATTATACAACTTATGTGAACATTTCTTGTCTCAGGACTAGTCAATTTGATGTAAGAAACACGATGTAGTCAAGAGAATGCAGTGTTAAAGACAAAAACAAAAACAAAATAAAGCAAGGATTATTTTTGTGGCTGGGCTATTTGCCATGTGACTCTGAGAAAGTCACTTCACCTCTCTGGATTTATGCCCACACCGGTAAAATAAGGGATGTGAACTATATGAATGCAAATCATCCTTCCAATTAAACTATTGTAGTCTATTCAACTTATTTTACAGATTAGAAAATCAGTAGTGAATGTATAAAAATTCTTAATTATATTTTATATTTTTTCATGTAGACAGACATCTTTGAGTTGCTTTAAATTTCATCATAAAACCATGTTAAAAGTAACTAGTAGTATCCCGATTTTATAGGTGAGAAAACTTGAGGCTACAGAAAGAACAGTGACTTGCACAAGGTTACCAGCATGTTCTTAACGTTTTGCGGTCTAGTATAGTGTTGACAACATGGCACATACAAAATCAGAGGCCGTGAACTATAACGCTTACACAGCAAGGCAGATAATGTAAACTATCGGTGGTTTCTAAGATGAACCAGAGAATGTATGTTCTACTTAAAGGAAGCAGCCACCACTCAGAGCCAACTGCTGACATATAGCCATGTGGGTCCAGTATTGCCAGATCTTTAGATTTTACAAGAGGCTGGATATCATGAATTTTAAATATTCCAATGTTTAAATGCTGGTAAACTGCTTAAAATGTTTAAAAACAGAGTGGGCTGTATTTGGCTCATGGATGACAATTCATAAATCTATATTAAATAAATTTTTTAAATGGACAGATTTGCGAACTAGAATATACTGATGCCTCAACTTCACTATGAGCTTTTAATTATCCAAAGTAATGGAGGATAGCAGAGATCAGAGCATCAGTATTATCTTAGTTTCCATTGAATATTTTATTCAAAGTATTGATAGTAAAATCAAATAATTGAAAAAAAAATGTTTCTCCTTATTTCAGGCCTTCTGGTGAAGGTATTAACAAATAGACAAAGTGTAAACAGGTCATCAGAAAAAGGGACAGTCCTGGATAATACAGAAACCAAAAAAAAAAAAAAATCTGTTCTTAAGTAATTGAGATTAGCTGTATTTACATGAGGGGAAATTCAAACATGATTAATTCATACTGAGGCTTTAAAAATAATAGGGATGGGTAGGAGCTACTGATTTAGCTTTTAAAAGTAAGATATGGCAATTAAGAAAAGGAATTTATGCTATCAGCTTTTTTTTTAATTTATAGAAAACCATTTGAGAATACTGTATCTGCTTTGACAAACAATAAACTAAGCAATGTTTAAAGTGAAGCTCTGACCTACTTGTGACTGCCAACAGAATCAATAAAATGCTTAACTTTTCCATTCAAAAAGTCATAGAGTTGGCAATATTTCATTATTTGTCTTTTTGAAGTAAACATTAAACCAGGCAAGAAAAGAATGGAGATGATAAAATAATGAGCGCTTCTTGGGAATATTTTTGGCTTTAATAAAATAATTGCACCACTAATTATTCTTCCACAAGACACTATAATTTTGAATCTGATTTCGTTGGCTACTTATTATATAAAAGTTTAAATGAAATCATTCATGCAGTACTAGGAAAAATACTTTAGGTAAAATGAATTAATTTTCCTCATTGGCTTCAATTAAAATGTTTTAAAGGTCTCTTCCCACCAGAGGAAAAAATTCACAAAAACTAAAGTGAAATTTTAAAGAAGACAAGATTAAGAGAGTACTCTTAAATCTATGACATAAGTAGTAACGCTATGCTAGCATGTTATTGTAACATGTTTAAAACTAAGGATTTGCCCTGCAAACTTTGTAGGTTACTCTCACTTTTGCCTTTCTTCAGATCAGAAGCTCTCCTTTATACCTATAACTTGGAAATACCTTAAGTCACAGCATCAAGTATTTTAAAAAGAATAAGTAGCCCACTTACATTTATAATTACTTAGTATTTAACTTATACTGCATTTATGTGAAATGATGGGAACCCATGTTAAATGGTAAAAGTTGGACAAATAACAATGTGTCTGTTCCCAAGTTTCCTTATCTCTAAAAAAAAGATAGCATTGTTACAAGAATTAAATAAATTGTGTAAAGTACTTGAAAAGAGTTCATAGCACATAGTAAGTTTTCGTAAATGTTAGTTATTATTATTATTATACAATAAAACAGTTACTCACTCTTTTGTTGAGACAAATAACAGGCCATAGGCTGCAACCCAGTGTGCAACAGCAGCAGAGACAACCACACAGCAGCCATTTCACATTGACCGGGAGAGCCTTTTTCAAACATGCATTCACACGGCCAATGCTGGTCTTAAATTCTTCTGGGGCCACCTACAAGAGGGTATAATCTTTAACAGTTTGTGGGCAGCTTTTCACTATCTCTAAATCTAAGAAAAATGTTTATTACAAATAATTTGAGGAATCACAAATATCTAAATAGATATATTCCCCATAAATATGTTCACACACTCTAGGGTGCCACTGAAAAGCACAACAATATAATTTCATGTTCATAGAACTTAGCCTGATGTTGAAAAACAATCTTCTGAAATGACCACCAATAAAATGACTGCAATAAACTTGACAGAAAAGGATAACATTCAAGCTGTTTTCTTACCAAATATTCTCATTATCAAGGCAGTATAATTGATAGTCTCAAGTCATTATGAGTAAAAGCTGGGTAAGACTAGAAGCATAACACAACAATAAAAACCCAAATACTACTAGAGGAAATGCAATTAAAATCAGACCTTGGCAATATTCCTGGATTACTTTGAAAAAGGCAACTCTCAAACCCTTATTCCCTGGCAAATTTGCAATATAACAATTTTAACATTAGCCACTGTTAGTTACACTAACAAAAGACAATGCCTAGTGATTGCATTCAAAATGGCCTGTTAATATTCATTATAAAATGGACTCAGAACTGCTGTAAATTTTCAAAGTTGAAAGGTCTTTAAATACACAAGTTTAATATTTCTAGTTACTACCTCCTTTCCTGGAAGTGGCTGCTTGTGCTTCTCTGTAAACAAGGACAAAGTCAGTTCAAAGGCATGCACATGACTGGAATAATTAGATTTATACCAAAAATTCTGCTTGAAGGTTATACAATTCAAACGTACACTAAAAATACTTTGCTTTCAGTGAAATCACATTTCTGGATTACAAAAATGATTCTCTTTCATTTAGAAAGCTGTCAGACTATAAAGTTTACGAAAGAACTTTTAGCATCTGGCTATAAAAGCAAAAATTATGCAATTGTTAGGAAAAGTAAGGTACTATAAAATAAAAACCACATTAGCAGGTTAGGAATCAAAAATATAGAGCTTTACTACCACTATTCCAAATAAAAATTATACTTGAGGAATCAATGTATTACATTTTTGTCTCTTAATCAACACTGCAAAACATATACCTATTAGCAAATGTTATAAAAATACATGATCACAGAATTCAGCACTAAAGTAAGCTAAACATTAAGAATATAAGCTTTATTAGAAGCTTTATTAGAATTGTTCATGTCACTCAATAAGGTTAATTGCTTAGCCCATGAATCTGATTTTCTTACTAATATGTTAACAAACAATAGTTGTGAAATTATAACGCTCAAAACTTTGTTTACACGGAGCAAGTAAACTAATTTCATTCTCCATCTAGACTGTCAGCAACATGATATAAAGACAATCCCTATGTGCAAAGAATTCCAATTAAATGGCAAAATTTCCAAGTAAATATGAAAACAAATTCAGAGAGCCTTGCCTTATAATTGAAATTAGAAAACACTAACAAAAACAAACTTAGTGCACTAAGCACACTAAGACAAACTAAAAACACTGAAAAACAGATCAAGAGACTTGAATTATAGTTACTTATTAGCTATGAAAAATCCAGCCAAAATCATTTAATTTTCTGAGTTTCAGTTTCCCACTGATAAAACGAGAATAATAATCTTCGTTTTATATATGTCACAGAAAATGTAAATTAATCCTTGGAAGTAACCTCCTGACCGAAATGCTTTGAAAAAGAAAGTCCATGAATCATGTCTCTGAGAAGGTTTGGAGAAAGAAAAGAAACAGCTCTCTTTTGTATGAAATCTCACCTGAAGGCAATGGGTTTACTCAAGTAACTATTAATATTCCATAGTTTTCCTATATATTATAAACAAAAGCATAATTTGTTTATAATCTGCTGCACGTTAAACTCAGATTCAATGCTCTTTAATTCTTCAGCAAAACAAAAACAAAAACAAAAAAGCTCTTCTTTCTAAAAACAAGGTACCAAGTTTCTATCTTGAGATTTACCTCTCCAACAGCAATATTCAACTTCTTTTCTCCTAGGGAATCACTGAGCAACCAAATAGAAGTTAAAATAAAGAAAAAATATGTACATATTTAGCTTTAATCTATATTACATTACTGTCAACTCTCTTTAAATTATGTATCCAGAATATGTTTTTTAAACATGGTAAATTTTGATATAAACTCATGCAAATCATAAAATTATTAAATCTGTCCATTTACAAATTTAAATGTTTGTAACTGGAATTTACATTTTTATTTAAAAAGTAAGTACAAACACAGATGTTAAAAAATAAAACTAAAAGGTGCAGAAATGAGTCAGTCCAAAAGAAAAAAAAATTGTTTATAAGGAGCCTTAGAAAAGAAAGCTCCACTTCTACCAGGGATGAATAGTGTTAGAAGACTGAGGGAGACAAAAGCTAGAGAATAAAAGAGGGAAGAGAAAACTGGCTTTTTATTTCAAACATTGTGAATAAAATAAATTGTATGCTGAGGTATACAAAATTTGTTATAAAATTTGCCTTTTATTATATGCTTCTGGAATTGAAAACAAAACATTACCTAAATATGTGGTCATTTTCCTTCTTTCCCGCCAACACTTTCTTCTTTTTAACATTTAATAGTCTCAATTTCTATTTTCTTACTATGGACAAATTAAAAACTAAAATATTCAAGTTACTAAAAATGAGAATTCAAATGTTTTGAGGTCATAAGACAAATATATTGAAAAGAAAAGCTTTTACTAGAGTTTCAAACAATAAACTAACATCTGCATTTTGACTTTAAAAGGAGGACAGGATTGCCTTTGAAAGAAATCTGTATTTGAGTAACAGTAAAAGTCATAAAACAGGGCTAAAGACATAAGAAGTGAGAATTAGTTTACTCAATTTTAAACAACGTGAAAGAAATGTTTAGTTAACTGTGTAGAATCAGGTTAACATTTTACTCATTTACTTTCATATAATTGAGTATCTCTAGCAATGAAGGTTAGATAGTAGAAGACCCTTACTTTCTAACTGAACAGTAGGTTGTAAAGAAACATTTCATTTCTTTTGGCTTTCTTGGAATGAAAAAAGAAAACCACACCATAAAGGTGGGGTAAAGGGTCATAATATTTTATAACAGGATGCAAGAGACTCTGTAAACAGAAGAAACTCTAAGGAAACCCCAGCAGGTCTGATCTGCTTCCTTCAATCATGGGGAACACAATCCTATCAATCAGGTGTCATACTGTATCACAATAGTAAAGGTCGATTTTTATTGCTTACAATCCCCAAACACTGCACACTAGTCTCCCTATAACACGGTTTAATTGTTTCAAGCTGAGGGCCAAAAGCTTTACTTTCTTTTCTAAATTTCTGTGGTTCTTTTATTTTCTGGTCACTAGAATCTGTGTGTATACATCTGCTCGATATGAAATACGGAAAACAATCTTTTCTGCACTTAAAATAAAAGGTTATCTTTTTGTTTGCACTAAAAGCATTAACACATAAGAAGCAAAAAATTAAAATTGAGCCACAGAGCTTGTCAAAATTGTTTTTTGAGGTTTTCAGACTTCCCTCTGCAACTTTGCTTAGCTCAGGCAGGCATAAAAACTATTTAGAATTGCATTCATATTGGAAGACTGATTTTGGATTTCGTAAAAGGTAGACTTTTTTTCTACTTTAGCTGTCACGGTTATTCATTTAAAAATATTTTAATGTAAGAGCCATTAAGTCTCGAATTTAGACCTTTTTTCTTTTATTTTTTTCTCAGATACACATGAATAACGTTTGCCTTTTCTCTCCAGTTATTTGAGAAGCATTTTGATAATGCAAAGGAACATATACAAATGAAAGTGCCGGTTGGAGAAAAATTATCTCAAGGAGAAAATGAATAAAGCTAATGTTACCACCACGTGACTTTCAAAAATCAGGTCTTCAGAATTCCTTTTAGCGTTTTTCCCATCACCAAACACATGCTAAGAAAAATATCACAGTTATAATTTATACCTTATCCAACACATGATAAATTTTGTACACTATACATAATGTACACTTAAATAAATACTCAAGTCATTACGATAATGTGCTACAAAAACAATCACTTGAAAAGAATGGATATCTTTATGAGCAGCTCATATCCAGATAATTTAGGTTGTGTGAGTGCATACCAAAAGCAGCTTGTTATTCTTTCTTACTCCTCTAGTTTAAAACAGTCTACTACCTTTGGGGCCACTGGAATTTTTAGTTTCAGAAGGCTTGTAAATAAATGAGAAGGTGTGAAAAGATATTCTGAAGATTCCTTGAGCATATAAAATAGGCCAATTTCGAAAATAGATAATTTGTATGCCTGGGAATTTTATACACTGGCGTATTTTTTAGATAATTCATTTCTAGAATTTCTTGGACCTGTATTTCAAACTAAGCCAATGGTAAAGTTGGATATAACTACACCTACAATACATGCAGCAGCATCAAAGGAAACACGAAGAATAAGTTTTTTACTGAAGTTCTTACAATTCACATTCTTTTTAATTTTAATAATGAATTTACCATCTTTCTACAAAAATACATTATTATTCAAGATATATTTCCATAGCTACTTTATTCATTTGAAAAAAACATTTATGATTAATTCATATAAGACAAATCTAAGTCTAGGCTGCTGCTTCAATTGGTAAATTATTCCAATTGATCAGGATAGGAAGGTAGAACGTACTAAAGAGTGAGCCAAAATCTCACACCAAAGGGTTCTTTGTGTCCTAAAATGTTAAATGGCCACATATTTTCTAAGGCTAACTTAGCCAGGAACTATGACCACCTGTTTAGTATTCGGTGGAATGATTTGATATTATACCTCAGAAGAGACAGAAAAGATCAACAGTCAACAGAACAAATTAGCGGTGAGACCAGAGAATAATAATGTATTCTCTCAGAATTAGATGAAGAAAAATTGCAAAAGCAATGAAAAATTGAAAGCCAGTGAGTAAAATGAAAAGCAACCAGGGTGAAACTACAATACAATGATGAAGAATAGTCAACAGCAACTACAAACTAACATTGGGAAGCTAATAAGTACATGACAGAATACTAGGAATTTAATATATGCTCTCTCATTTAACTCTTAAATTAAAAAGTGAGGTAACTTTTCACATAAGAACTGAGGCTCAGAGAAGTGACCTGCCCAAGGCCACATGGTAAGTGACAGAACTTGGATTCCAACCCAGATTTGACTGCAAAGCTTGTTTAACTACTATATTTTATCTCAAGCTACCTCCCATTTTTCAAGGGGAAAACAAAGCAAATAAAGTGTAACATACCTTGCAGGGTTAAATTAAACAGAATTTCTTATGATTTCAAAGATGTTCCTTGAAAAAAGAAATAGGTCTGCTGTCTACTCCCCCAAAGAGGCTGGGGGGAAGATTGTGATTAGGCCAAAAGCAAAAAGAATACACAGTTGGAAAATGCATGACAAAAATAAGCAAATGTCAGTAGAAGCATCTTTTCTGGTTCTCAAAGAGTTTAGAACAAGGGACATTGAATTAAGAATAAATTAAAGTTCAAAAGGCAATATAGTCACACGGTTTAAAAATGAAAGCAATACTAAAAGATATACAGAAAAGTCTCATCCTTACCCTTGCCTCCATCCATCTCATTCCTCTTCTCCCATCAAAGGTAATAACTTTTATTAGTTTCATGAGTATCTCTCTAGAATTTCTTTATGTAAAAATACATTTATTAAAGGACTTATTTCTCCAATTTATTACACATACTAAACACACTGATTTTCATTTTGCTTTTCTCACCAACAATATGAGAATAATTGATGCTACAATAGAATAAAAAACCTGTTAGATGAGATAATTTTAAAACATGACCAAAATCTATACTGACAAATACCATTATTCTAGCACTAAAATTAAATATATTTAATTTAAAGGCTTCAAAATACAAAAAGTTAACTTCCTTTAACCCCAATCATCTTTTTAGCTATCCAAGCTTTCAACTGTTAACTATTTGGCAATGATTGAGTATTCTATATTACAATGGTTTTTCTCTCCTCTTCTACAATTGCTCAAGTAACAAACATATATAAATAACTTTTTGCCTTAGGCAGAGCCTTTTCCTTTGGGATAGAAAGTTCACATTATTGTCATAAGATGATCTTCCAAATATTGTTTCTTTTTAAAAAGTGTATATATTTAAGGTGTACAACATGATGTTTTGATATACATATACACAGTAAAATGATTACTAGTCAAACACATTAGCATATCCATCTCCTCACGGTCACCTTTTTGTTATTTTGTGATAAGAACACCTGAAATCTACTCTCAGCAAATTTCCAGTGTATAATACGGTATTATCAACTATAGTAATCAGGCTGTGCATTAGGTTTTTAAATTTATAGTTTTGAATCCTAGTAAATCTTTGAATTTACTAGAAACTACTACTCAATGTAGAAAACCAGGGACTAGAAAGGTACTAATTTATTACAGTGAGTCCAATCTTACTAACTCAAACTATCTAAAAGTCAGAAAAACATCTAATAAAAAATTTAATTATTTTCATGTATAACAAATCATACCATATGGTACTTTAAAAATTAATAGTAGTGATACAGTTAAAAAAATAACTTTAACTCTAAAAACACTGGAAATTAATGACCCAAATAAAAACAATTATAGCTACCTATGCTGAGAAAAAAAATGCAAAAGTGAAAAAGCTGAATGGATAAATAAATAATGGCTAGCATTAATGGACAGTGAACAAAATAACTGGTCAGAGGCTGGTAGCCATGGCAACAGCTTTCAGACACTATAAACACAGCTTCCAACTACTGAGGCCTCCTATTACTTGACTTCATTAACAATGATTCAAAGCATTTGTCATAACAATGAGTAAGCCATACAACAATGCTTTAGAACTGAAAACTTCAAAGCAAATTCTCACTTACCTTCCCTGTTAGAACGGAGGGAAATTCAGTATCAAACTTGTTGCTCAAGCCAAACCTTCAAAACAAAGACAGAACAAAATATGTTCTACCCAGCATATTTAAATATTTCTTTTGTAAAAATAAAAGTTATAAACCTATGCATTTTTCTTTTGGCCTTTTGATTTAAAAATGTGCCCTGAAAAATTTTTTATATGATATTTATAGAAAGCAAATCTTTGATTATTAATCCAAACTAATTTTTAAAAAGCTTAACAAAAAGCAAACATTAAAGTGGGATTCTAACTCAACCCATGATGTAGGATTAAAAAATAATAAGTTAAAGAAACACATATTGAGCTGGAAATGTCCATTTTTAACTGAAATGTTTCAGTTAAAACCTACTTTAGTTGATAACTGTTGGAGCTGGATTATGGGTACTGTGTGGGATTTCATTATACTATTCTTTCCACTTTTGTGTATGTATGCAAATGTTCCTAATAAAAACTACCCCTCCACAATTAATACAACCTTTGGAACTACAGAGTTTGACCACTTGTGACCAGTTACTATTCAGATACTCAAAGTTTAATCCTTATGAATGGCTTTCACGTTTGTGCTCAACCAGTTTTGAGAAAACAGATTCCAGACTTGAAAACTCTCTTTTCCAGTACACTCAGTGAAATCTGCATTAAGAAGTCAAAATGAATTTTATGAGGCTTTGCTCACTTGCTTGTTGATTTCAGGGATAACAAAGGTCACTTCCTGAATGTTAGATGATACTATTTCATATTAACTACAAGTTTACATTAGTGGAGGATAGGTTGTAAGCAAAAAGGAAAAGACAGTAACATTTACTGAGAACTCCATATGAGGTGGGCAATAACAGTAACAGCTACTAATAACTATGTACTTACCATGGGCTAGACACTGTGCTAACTAAATATAGTCACATGCTACATAACATGTTTCAAAGACAGACTGCATATATGATGGTGGTCCCATAAGATTATAAAGGAGCTAAAAAATTTCTATTTCCCAGTGTTGCCATAGCCCTTGTAATGTCATAGTCATAGCCTTCATAACATCGTAGTACAATATATTACACATGTTTGTGGTGATGCTGGTATAAACAAACTTACTTTGCCACCATAGAAAAGTATAGCACATACAATTACATACAATACATAATACATGATGATAATAACAAATGACCGTTACTGGCTTATGTATTTATTATACTATACTTTTTATTGTTATTTTAGAATATATTTCTTCTTCTAACAAAAAGTTAACTGTAAAATAGCCTCAGGCAGGCCCTTTTAGAAGTATTCTAGAAGGTACTGTTATCACAGGAGATGACAGCTCCGTGTTATTATTGTCCCTAAAGACTTTCCAATGGGATAAGCTGTGAAGGTGGAAGTGATATTGATGATCGTGTAGACCTAGGCTAATGTGTGTGTGTGTGTCCCTGTGTAGACCTAGGCTAATGTGTGTGTTTGTGTCTTAGATTTTAAAAAAAAGTTTAAAAAGTAAAAAAAAAAATTAATAGAATAAGGATATAAAGAAAATATTTTTGTACAGCTGTACAATGTGTTTGTGTTTTAAGCTAAGTATTATTACAAAAGAGTCAACGAGTTTCTAAAAATTGAACAGTTTATACAATTAAAAAGTTATAGTAAGCTAAGGTTAATTTGTTATTGAACAGAGAATAGCATTTGAAAATAAATTTATTGTAGCCTAAGTATATGGTATTTACAAATTCTACAGTAGTGTACAGTAATATCCTGGGTCTTCACATTCACTTACCACTCACTCACTCACTCACTAACACATAGCAACTTCTGGTCCTTCAAGATCTATTCATGATAAGTGACCTATTAAAGGTATAACATTTTTTGTCTTTTATATTATATTTTCTCTGTACTTTTTCTATGTTTAGATACCCAAATACTTACCACTGTGCTACAATTGCCTATAGTAATCAGTATAGTCACATGCTGTACAGGTTTGTAGCCTAGGAGCAACAGGCTTACCATATAGCTTAGGTGTGCACTAGGCTATGCCATCTAGGTTTGTGTAAGTATACTCTGTGATGTTCACACAATGATAAAATTGCCTAACAATGCATTTCTTAGGAGGTATCCCCATTGTTAAGTGACACATGACTCTACATTACTTTTACGCTTTAAAAGTCTTCAAGAGAAGTATTGTCAACCCCATTTTAAAGACAAAGAAGCTAACATCCAGAAAAAAATTCAAAAAATAAATTAAATGACTTGCCCACAGTCATGTATTAAGTGGGGAAAACCAAAATTCCAATGTTGATCCCCTAAATCCTTATTTTATCCTATATTAAGTTCCTTGAGAACAGGAACTATGGGTTATTTATTTTGCTGTTTTCTATTATACCTAGCAGCATAATGAAATCTAATCAGTGTTGAAAAATGTTTGTTGAATAATAAACTACTGTACTATTTAACTGATTTATGGCACTTGGTTGTAGGGTCACTTTAAAGAAATGTTAAGAATCAATGTCTGATTAAAACTCTGTGCAAGAACTAGAGGAACTGGGAAAACAAGAACAAAATAACCCCAGAGCTAGCAGAAGAAAATCTGAGAACCAAAAATCCACATAAAATATCAATGAAACCAAAAGTTGGTTCTTTGAAAGAATAAACAAGATTTACAGACTGCTAGCTAGATTAACAAAGAAAAAAGAGAGAAGATCCAAATAAGAGCAATCAGAAATGACAAAGATGACATTACAACCGATCCCATAGAAATACAAAAAATCTTCAGATAACTATTATGAACACCTAGTACACAAAATCCAAAATCTGGAGGAAATGAGTAAAATTCTGGAAACATACAAGCTCCCAAAATTGAATCAGGAAGATTTGAAGCCCTAAACAGAACAAGTTCCAAAATTGAATCAGAAATAAAACACCAACCAACCAAAAAAAAGCTCAAGACCATACTGATTCACAACCAAATTCTATTAGATGTACAAAGAAGAGCTGGTACCAATCCTACTGAAATGATTCCAAAAAGTTGAAAAGGAAGGACTCCTTCCCAACTCATCCTATAAAGCTAGCATCATCCTTAGAGGAAAAGCTGGCAGAGAAAGAAGGAAAATAAGAAAACTACTGGCCAATATCCCTGACGAACATAGACACAAACATCCTCAACAAAATACTAGCAATCCGAATCCAGCAGCACATCAAAAAGTTAATTCGCCACGATCAAAGAGCCTTTATTCCTGGGATGCAAGGTTGGTTCAACATACACAAATCAATAAATGCAATTTACCACATAAACAGGATTAAAAACAACAAAGAAAAGATCATCTTAATAGGCACAGAAAAAGCTTTCGATAAAATTCAATATCCCTTCATGATAAAACCCTCAACAAACTAACCATCAAAAGAATGTACCTCAAAATAATAAGAGCTATGTATGAGAAACCCACAGCCACCATCATACCCAACAGGCAAAAGCTGGAACCATTCCCCTTGAGAACTGGAACAAGAAAAAAAATGTCCACTCTCACCACTCCTTTTCAACATAATACTGCAAGTACTACTCAGAGCAGTCAGGCAAGAGAAAGAAAAAAAGGCATGCAAACAGGAAAAGAAGAAGTCAAACGATCTCTTTTTGCAGACAATATGATTCTACACCTAGAAATCCCTAAAGACTTGCCAAAAGGCTCCTTGAACTGATAAAGAAAAAACTTCACTAAAGTTTCAGGAAATAAAATCAATGTACAAAAGTCAGTAGAATTTCTATACAACAACAACATTTAAGCTGAGAGCCAAATCAAGAATGGCATCCCATTTACAATAGTCAAACAAACAAACAAACAAACAATACAAAACAAAAACCCTAGGAATACATCTAACCAAGAAGGTGAAAAATGTCTACAAGGAGAACTATAAAACACTGCTGAAAGAAATCAGAGATGACAGAAACAAATGGAAAGATATTTCATGCTTACGGATTGGAAGAATCAATAACATAAAAATGGCCATACTGCCCAAAGCAATTCAAAGATTCAATGCTATACCTGTCAAACTACAAACATCATTCTTCATGGAATTAGAAACAACTATTCAACAATTCATATAGAAACAAAAAAGGACCTAAATAGACAAAGCAATCCCAAACAAAAATAACAAAGCCAGAGGCATCATATTACCTGACTTCAAACTATACTACAAGGGTATAGTAACCAAAACAGCATGGGACTGGCACAAAAACACACATAGACCAATGGAACAGAATAGACCACAGAAATAAAGCTGCACACCTACTACCATCTGATCCTTGACAAAACTGACAAATGTGAGTAAAAGAGAAAGGCACCTCTGTTCAATAAATGGAGCTGGGATAACTGGCCAGCCATATACAGAAGAATTAAGCTGGAACACTACCTGTCATGATATATACAAATTACCTCAAGATGGAGTAAGTACTTAAATATAAGACTTCAAATTATAAAAATCCTAGAAGAAAACCTGGGAAACACCCTTCCCAACATTGGCCTTGGCAAAGGATTCATGATTAAGTCTTTAAAAGCAACTGCAACAAAAACAAAAATTATTAAGACCTAGTTAACCTAAAGAGCTTCTGCACAACAAAAGAAATTATCAATAAACAGACAACATACAGAATGGGAGAAAACATCCACTATCCATGCATCAACAAAGGTATAATATACAGAATCTATTATTAGGAATTTAAATAATTCAATAAGCAATAAACAAATAGCCCCATCAAAAAGTGGGCAAAGGGCACGAAGACACATTTCTCAAAAAAACACATATAAGGGGCCAACAAACATATGAAAAAATGCTCATCATCACCAATCATTAGAGAAATACAAATCAAAACTACATTTCATGCCAGTCAGAATGGCAATTATTAAAAAGTAAAAAATAACAGATGTTGGCAGGACTGCTGAGAAAAGGGGATGCTTATACAACATTGGTGGGAATTTAAATTATTTCAGCTACTGCAGAAAGCAGTTTGGAGATTTCTCAAAGAATCAAAAATAGAACTACCATTTGAACCAGCAAT